TGCGGGGGAAGAGCCATAAGAAGCGCCGACGATATGCCGATTGTATGCATCCTTTCACTCACTCTTTCCGTTTGATAGCCATTCAGTCAATAGTCTTATGATTTTGTTGTTATATTCACTTCGACTACCATTGAGTAAAGTTTGCGAAAATGCTTTTAAAGACTTAAGTTATTCATTGAATCCATGGTTCAAGTGATGACTAGTTTTTGTTGATTCATAGCAAACCTTTTGTCTCAACAAATGGAGTCTCTGTCCGATGGCGAAGAGCTCAACGATATATCCATTTATGACTTCATTCCACAGACGGTCTCAGCCTTCGCTCAACTGCTCATCAATAAGGAGAATATGAAGACATGGAATGATGTGATCAATTGCACTGAAGACCAACAGAACCAACTCTTGGATCAAATCAATATAAAGAGATCCAGAGCTCAAAGTGAATNTATGACTTCATTCCACAGACGGTCTCAGCCTTCGCTCAACTGCTCATCAATAAGGAGAATATGAAGACATGGAATGATGTGATCAATTGCACTGAAGACCAACAGAACCAACTCTTGGATCAAATCACTATCAAGAGATCCAGAGCTCAAAGTGAATGCAAGGCTCCTGACGATGGAGTGGACAGTCGTACACATGAGACTGCATTCACTGCCGACCAATGCTTCAAACGAATCGATTCTGATCTGAAGAATACGCTGAAGAAGAAGCACTTACCACTCGTATGTCTTTCTAATGATTTAGCAATTATTTGAATAGAAAATCCTATGAATTGAAGGGAGTGTTGGCGACCATTGAAGAAGAAATCACAGCCTTCTTCAACGAGAAGCCGTTCGCCACCTATAAGTCGTGCCTTCAATCCACAGGTTCAACAAAATCAGGCTTTCGACGCCTTCTACTCCACGCCTGCTGTCAATATCTGGACCTCAAATGTCTCAGTATGTCTTCATATCACGCGTTTTATAGGTTTTCTAATTCAATGCATTGATTAGGCTTTGATGCAAACGGCGAGCGCTGGTCCAGAGTTAACAATCGCAACAAATATTTCTCTCAGCCGTCAGTAATGCTCACC